CGGTATAGTTGGAGGACTTAGTACCGCAGTTTGGGCAGTCGCCTTGTACGCTGAAGCTCGTAGTGCGGTCGAGCCACAGGAGGGTTTAGGTTCATTTTGTACGAGGCTCATGTTGTATATGGTCTTAGGTGGACCGATTGGTGTTGCAACAGGAGCTTTATGGGAAAGAGACATGCTCTTGCTGCAGCGGATCTAAATTGATGATGGTTTAAAATATCGAGCAAATAGTTTCCATATAGCGAACATCGCTCAAACCCCGATCTATCTTACTCTCTATCAATTTTGATGATGTCGTTGTGACCTTTCGGCATTACACCTTACACCATTTTTAGCGTCCATCTTCGCGGTGGATGGGGACAAGCCAAGCAGAGCATGCTTGAAAGCGGTGTAAGCGGCTCCACAAGCAGCCGCTCGCATCGAGACTGTTGAGCAGATTTTGACAACACGGACATCCTATAGCTAGAACAAAAAGGGCAGTATGCAAGCGTGCACGAGATACATCGGCCCACCCACATTGACGTAAAGGATTGATACCAACCAGCGATCGTTGTGGTCGCTACTAGGACTAGAAAATTCGAAATGCCATTTATGATGAATCAAAGAGAAGCTCCTATTAGCTTCCGATGAATCTCGAGAAAACGATGCTAAAGGCCGCAGTAACAACAGCGACCTTCGACTTACGTGGCCAGATGGATCTTTTTCAAAACGATTACCTGCGTAGCGACATACTCAATTTTCTTGGCGAAGTTGCATTTTGACGCAGCGGTCTGCTTGGGGATAGGATGCTCGGCACCTGCCGCTGAAAAGAGAGCGTATTATGGGGACAGGAAAACAACCGGGTGAAGAATGTACTCGGGAGCTTTTGCAAGTCTAATGCAGTGCACTGACTTGAAGACGCTAGATTCTGTGAGTAATTCACTTGTGGAGGAAACGTCTTTTACCGGCTCCACTACTAATCGGACCGAACACCTATACAAATACCTCGGAGCCATTCCCCGAATGTCACACATGAGATCCTGGTAAGCACGCGAGCTAGTTTTTGTGACGTATATAATACATAAGACTAGGCTTTCGAGCCTTGTTGGTAATAAGCTATTTAGATCCTTGCAACCATGCTTGGAGTCGGATGATTGACCCGATATAGTTTTCATCCTAGGTTTCGGATAGTAGTCAACTCGGAAGCGTATCATCGCACGTGGCATGTTCATGCAATTCATTAATATATATTGACGTTCTATTCCTGATTTCCGGAACATGTCCGGGCGGACAAAGCGCTCGAGAGGCTAGAGTGATCGCGTATTCTCTAAGCTGCACTTTGCATGATCAGTTGATTGAACAAGACAACCCTAACGCTACAACTTCGGTGCCAGTCGATACAAGCGACCCTCCCATGGCTGCAACGTGACTTCATTCAAGCCAGCTTCCTTCAATGTCGCAGTTGTCGTGCAAACGAGATGCATGAGATCTTTCCCGATTGGCACCGGAATCAGAGATTCCTCGCTCGAGAAGTTCAATACCACTAGCATCTCGGACTTTCCATCAGTGCTTACTTTCGTATACGAGAACACACTGGGGTTGTCCCTGTCAACAAGACAAAAAAGCCCGCAAGCTAACACATCATACATCTCTTTCCTCATCTTCATCATCTTTACCCAGAAAGAACGTATGCTATTTGGGTTTCCAAGCTGCTCTTCGACGTTTATGTGAGTGTAGTTGTCGATGGCCCTAATCCAGGGCTTCACGTCACTGAAACCAGCATGCTCTTTGTCTGACCACTGGACTGGTGTTCTTCCGTTATCTCGCCCCCAGGTAGTAAGCGCATCAATTGACTTCTCTACCGCTTCAGCGTCTTTAGTTGGATCAATATCTTCGATGTGTTCGAGGTCGGCGTTGTCTTTGAAGTCATCTCGCCCCCAATGTGATGGGACGTTGGTCATTCCGATCTCCTGACCCTGGTAGATGAAAAAGGTTCCGGAAAGGGTTGCAGCCATCAGAGCAAGCATCCTTGCGGCAGCTTCGCGATACACCCCCTCACCTGGCCCAAAACGGGATACACTGCGAGCGAAATCATGGTTCTCGAGGAACGCAGTAGGCCAGCCTCCATCATCGAGAAGGCTCTGCGTCTTCAGGACGGCATCCTTGAATAGTGGTAGCTCTGGCTTTTTGAGTTCGTACAGCCCATCTGTCCATTCATTCCCGACGATGAAAATGTCTGTATCGAGAGCCATCTCCAGTTCTTTTGATTCGGGAGATATGTATCGTAGGAAAGTCTCTCGGTCCGTTGAGGGGAGTTCCCCAATCAACACGATGTTCTCTCCAAAGTCCTGTACGATTCTTTCTTTCAACTCCTTTAACCAGACATGAACCTCTTCACCATTCAAACAACGCGATCCGTCAAGCGGTTGCAGCGCTTCTCCAGGATAAACTTCTTTTGCATCAGGAAAGGTTGGATCTTTCCAGTATAACCCAACCAAATCCATCCGGAACCCATCAACACCTCTCTCCAACCAAAATTTCACCGCGCTATCATATACTGCCCGTCTCAAGTCGTCGCAAAACCAATTCAAGTTTGGTTGATAAGTGGTTCCAAAGCAGAAATAGTATTGACCCCGTGCTTCAACGTACTTCCATGTACTCTTTCCATATCGTGACCCGGTGCGCCAATTATTTGGCGGTTGTCGATTGCCTTCGCTATCATATTTTGGATCCCTCCAGATGTAAAAATCACTGTATGGCCCTGACCGAGATTTGCAACTTTCCAGGAACCAGTGATGTTTGTCGGATGAATGATTTGTGACCATATCCATGACGATCTTGATGTTACGTTTCTTGGCCTCTTTGATGAGGTTTTCCATGTCGGCAACAGTGCCATATTGCGGGTGAATGGATTCGTAATCGGAGACATCATATCCCATGTCTCTGTTAGGCGAATCATAGACAGGAGAAAACCAGATGAGATCGATTTCCAGCGATCGCAGATAGTCGAGCTTGCTGAGAACTCCATTGAGGTCACCTATGCCGTCACTATTCGAATCTTTGAAAGACGCCGGCCATATTTGGTAACCGATGGCAGTTTGCCACCAAGGCCGTGAGTCTTGTGGCATCGTGAATGTGGAGTTTTTGGAATAGAGCCGGGCGTTCTGTTATAGCACGTGCGACCAAATTTGTGAAGTTTACGACATATGAGAGCATACGTATTCTATGTAATATTTTGCAAGATCCCTGAGAAAGGCTACCTGGTAGTCGGACCGCTGCCTATTGAACGACCGGGAAAACGATTACGGAATGTTTCCCGTCCGTATTAGCAGCACCTGATCCCTTGCAGAGCATCCGGCTGTATTTGCCTGCTGGTAAGCTCCCGCAAGCGTCCGCCAGAAGCCGAAAATCTGGAATCGAACAACCCCAGCAAAACCTTTTCTGCGAACATGACGGGTTTTTGATATTTCTTGCACAGAGTTGATTACTGATGCTAGAGGAACCATATTCTACGTATACTACGTCTATGAGTTTCACTCCCGTTGACGCCGAGAGGAGATTGCATCGGCACTACACTGCAGCATTTCCAAGCTTTCATGGCATTCATGCTTCGCTGCTGCCGATTTCTCAGTCCAAGCTTGTGAGGGTCTACCTAGTTCCACACCGTTGGTCAGGTGTCATTTCGCCCGGTCGGCAGAACCACATACGACGTCAGCTGCGGTGGGGAGAAACTGGGGTCTCCAGTTTCAGTATTGCTGGTGTAGAGGGTTGCATTAGCAATGCAGGCATGGATGCGCCACCACGCGATTGACCCATAAATGGTTGGTGTTAGTTGTGGAGCTAGATTCGGGCCTATACAATAGGCGCTTGAAGCGGAGCCAAGAACAACAACGTATTCGGGGCATTTGCGACATTTCTCTGCTTTAGTGACAAACGGCGTGTCATTGGTGCTATTTCTCCCCTGGCCGCCGCTACCACCTTAGTAAAACAGCCCCGCAATAATTATAGATGTACGTATTCATCCTATATAGTAAAAAATGGAGATAAGAATTTTCACACTAGCAACGTCTCGATTCCTGTGGCTGGCGACGAGAAGAGGTGTACCACACCAAGCTAGTGTCAAAGGTCATTGCTAAATCTCTTCAGTAAGTTATCTCCGCACCTTAGGAGGGATATGAATCCTTCGTTTGTGTCTTGGAGGTGGGATCGGAAAGTTTTTCATGTGAAAGAGCTTGAACTAGAGAAGCTATTCGTTTAGAGGAGCAAGCAGTAGTTTACCCCATAATATCACACATTCTTATGATAGCTTGGATTTCAGAAATGATTTTGATCCATATTGTTCTTTGACATATGTACTGCATTGAGACTGATGTCTACGTGCTCGCTCTTGCTATGATATGCTTCCATTGGGAAAGTCGTGTGACTGCGTCTTTTTATCATACTACTCTGGGATTTTCCCAAACGAATGTGAGAGGGCCATGGGTGTGCATTTTACGAATCAGTGTCTATGTAAGTCTGGGTGAGCAGGGCAAAGCTGGCAAGACACAAGTGGAGGCAACCCGAGACAAACAACCCACCTTTTCTCGACTCAGTCCTAGCCGATGCCCAGGCTGAACTAACTACCACCCCTGAAGCCGCAAATAGGGTCTTTGCTCGTGTTTGGAAATCTTCGCCCAGCGGGGTTTAAGAAGTACGTGGTATATCACCACGCAACCTGAGGGAGCTGACTTCCACGGAATATCCCGCCGCTCAGCTTGTACTACAGTACTCAACTTTTTCAGTGCTCAACTTGTTCAGTAGTTAACTTGCACAGTGCTCAGCTTGCTCAGTCACTCAGTTTGTCCTTTTATCTCACTTACCCTATCAAACAGCCCACTACTTCACTTTTCTGTAATCAGGTGATTAATCATGAAGATTCTTTGCCTCCACGGACGAGGCTCTAACAATGAGGTTAGCAAAATGTCAAGCCCCCTTGCGGATTTCCCTCGTTCTAATCACATCCCCAGATTTTCCGCATGCAAACGGCTCCTATCCGTGCAGCACTAGAAGATTTTGAGTGGGTCTTTGTTCAAGGCACCGTCCGCCACACTGAAGGTAAGAATTACGAAATTACTACTTGGAAGAGCATGACTAACGTGCTCGATGCTTGTAACAGGAAACTGGTCTCTACACACATCCGACTTTTCCAAGCTCCCTTTATACACATACTACAACCCATTCGACCCTGAATCCATCATACAAACTCATGAAGAGCTCCTCCACATCATAAGGAGCCACGGTCCCTTCGATGGTGTTTTCGCCTACTCTGGCGGAGCAGCACTAGCGGCCGAGCTTCTTGTTGAAGCTGCTCGTTCTGAGACAGCTATCGAGCCTCTATTCCGCTTCGCCGTCTTCGTGAACGGCGCATCGCCGCTACGCGTCTTCGAAGTCGACGATGTCGACACGGTGAGCGGCCATGTTGACGTCTCGCAAACATTTCAACAAGCAAAAGAAATGTTTCTCCGACCTAGCGCGCTGCGACACAAGCCTGGTGTCAGTGAAGAGGATCAGGTGGATCACAAGAAGTTGCTCGGACTCTTGAGCAGATTAGAAGGGAAAATGATGGCAGATGGGACAGCCTTTTTGAGCGATGGCACGTATGGGCTATGTCGGTGGGAGCAAAACAAATTGCAGCCTGCATTGATTGAAATTCCGACTCTCCATGTGAGGAGCACGGCGGAAGATCACGTGGACCCGCATCATGGAAAACATCTGGTTGAACTGTGTGACCAGTTTGATGTGGAGGAAATCCATCACGAATTTGGACACGATTTTCCTAGGGGAAGACAGTTGATGAAGCAAATAGCGGATGCAATTAGAGAAATGGCTGAGTTGGCGTGATAGGGGTGGTCTAGGCAACACAATACTTTTCGTTCTAGCAAATTATACCCCTTGCCATTCGCAAAGCTTGTACAACTCAGGTGTTAGTGCGGGTACAGTACCAGACTGAGAAAACTGGACGAGTCAACCTGAACTTGAGATCTCAGTCCAGACCCATGCGCCTGAGGATCTCGAAGAGCTCGTGCGCCAAGGTATTCGGCGGCGATAATGTACGTTCTGCTCGCATTAGTTGGAGGTCGAGGCCCGCTAGCTCATGCGACGTTCGTACATTCATTGCTTCTTCGCTCAGTAGCCGCATCTGGGAACTTCCAAATGAGTCCTCCTCCTACTTGGGCATATCAGATGGAGGAATCGGATGGGACGTAAGAAGGTGAATTTTATGACGCATTATCTTTCGAAATCGTAAACAGAATTTAGGTTGCCCCTAGGAAGTAGGCGTTCGAGAGATCGGAGTTCTCCCGCTACTATTGTTCCAGACGCTCATTGTCACCCTCATTCATCAAACACTGCGAGACTGTCATGTCTTCTTTGGACTGAGGGCTCGTCTCATTTTCCACCTGGTTGCCAGCGTACGGTTTATCTGGAGCCACAGTTATTACCCTATGTGCATCGTTCTTCGCCCATGTTTTCTGTGAAGACTGCTGTGAGCTAACATCTGGATATAAAAGCGCTGTAAGATTGCGTCCCAACGAGGTTTGATTAAGGAACCATCTCATCCTATCCAACCCAGTGCGCTGCAAAAGCAGAAGTATGATTGTAGCGACACTTATGATGAGTGTCAGCAACAGCAACAACATTGCTGGTACCGCGTAGACAATATTGTACTTCGTGCTTCGTTGCATCAGAATGACGTGGGGTACCTCATGCGGACTGTTCTGGTCTTGAGATACAGATGTGGCTGAACCTGGCGACTTAGCCAACCAGGATCGAGTACCAACTACAGCGTTTGCAGCGATGTCTGTCCATATCAGGTTGATAATGTCTGCAGACCGTGTAGCTGTCCGTCCAAGTTCAAGCCACCTTTGATATAGGGCGAATTGACCATACCCTGAGTAGTCATGGATCTCTACAGATTCAAGTGCTGTGTCGCTGAATAGCTCTGCATAGATATATTGCATGATAGTGCTGTAAAAGCTTGCTTCTGGTATGTTCATCTTGGAGTCTACAACTGAGGACAAAAAGCGCCCAGTATATCCAGGAAGCCATAGTGACTCCCTCTGAATAGATGAAATGTTAGACCTTTCTGCGAATTTCGGGTTTAATAGACCCCAAAATGGTTTTATATCCCTATAAGTAATACCAGAGTCTTCCACTCCCCAGATGGGCATGAATGATGTATTAGGATAGGTCTTTTCCGTCACATTGATGACACGCAGATCTGATAGGCCTCCGTTACCATTATATAGAAATGTAACAGTTTTGATAGTAGCTCGGGAAGCCGATGCACAGGTGTAAACTCGTTGTGTCCATGCGTCTCCGGGCTTGCCAAGATCAAAAGGGTTCAGGTCTCGTCCCATAGGTCTCGGTGGAGGGTAAAGGGTACCCGTGGCTATCGCGATATTCGAAATGTTTGCTAAAGACCATGAATCTACGCGTCCCTGAGCAACATCCTCTTGTGTAGTAGGTTAGGATGTGCGCTTCTTCTGAGTGGAGTGGAAGTATGCACATACCGAAGTATTCGAAAGCATCCGTTGTGACATTATGAGGATTCGTGTAGATCTGGTTATGGTTCAAGAAGAACGTGGAGTTTCTGGCGATGTCGGTCTTCGAAGGGAGCTCTAAATGTTGACCAAGCCTACGAAGAGCAATTCTCCCTGGTTTCGGGATGGAATTGGCCGTTTTCCCACCGCTTCCGCTGAATGAAGTTGTGTTCGACTCATCTTCAAGAAGGTATGATGTTCCGACTGGCGCCTGTTCGTACATCCTGAATTCTTTCAGGCCGCGCTCTTTGTCCGTCAAATTCATATAAATCATGGTTAATGCGTTGCTATATCCAGCTGCAAATAGTGCTCTAGTATGGAGATAGATGCTGTCTTGTGAGCTGTTCATGGTGTGAATGCCTTCCAGGTTGACTGTACTGTTCAGATCTGCGAATCCGCCACGATCTGTCAGCCGTAGGATGCCACCAGATACCAATGTGTGGAGTGTATCGTCTTCTTTGAGATCGTAATCGATCGTTAGATTGTTATCGACGCAACTTGTTTCGGGCACAATGAACAGAATATCTTCTGTCCATGTGACTTCATGAGAAATCTGAGAGGGAATAGTGTGGTTACGAAAACCAATTCCAACTCTTTCCAAATCGACCACCAGCCCTTCAATAATTTTGAATCCATTGCTTGGAAGTAAGCCTTGTATCGGCCGGTATCCTCCCACTAGGTATGGTGATCCATTGTCGTAGTACTTCTCAGTAGATGAAGAGATATCATTGTACCTAGTGAACATGCTTGATAGATTCTGCTGTCTGATCTCATAGGAACGCCACTGAATATCGAACATACTGGACACACTCCTTTCCATTACGTCTAGGCCACTTGCCCATAGGTTCTGTGTCTCCAAAGAGATGTTAGTGTAGTAGTAGCCATCTGTCCAACTCCAATTGAAGGTAAAATTATCAGAACTAGTGTAGAGTTCTCGGAAGACAGAGAAGTTTGAGCCGGGACAACTCATCGATCCTTCCGGGCTTCCACAGATACGATTAAAGCCCATATCATTCCTAGGAAGACTTTCATATCCGAAGGGTGTCAGATCTTGCGCGTAGCTGAAAGGCACTCTTTGAGGTTTACTGGATAGCATTGCATCATAAAGACCAAGGGGCGTGATGACGGCAGTCACAGCGACTAGAACTGTTGTGAAGATGCCCAAGTAGACTGCGGCGACAACTGCAGGGTTCACATTCTTACTCGCTGACGAATCCGAGCTGAGAATTGTTGGCCAGTATGTTGAGTGGAGGGTTCGACTGAGCGTAGACCATGTGACAGCGGTCTGCTGTACTTGATCATCCCGCTTGTTGATGAAAGCGATGAGGATGAGCGGGATTGCTAGTGGTAACAGGAGTTGTACTTTTCCGATGGTTAATGACTGGCAAGTAGCTGTGTACATTGAGGTTGACTTACGTGAAGTAGTGCCTGCAGCAATCAACGCCGAGACTTGACCAACAGACAGCGATGTCATTGTGACAGCAACGCGGATCGATAGCAAAGCCTTTCATGTGTCACAAGTTTGGGGCCGTTGTGGTTCGAAGGTAGTCAATAACAGATCTTGCTTATGTTCCAAGGTTTGCATCAATCCTGTCCAGTTGGTTTCCTCTTCAACTATAAGAAGGAGGTCTACGGGATGGTACATGTAGCTAAGGCTTCCGCGGAAGGCAGACCAGGTACAGCCACCTCTGCCATGTCGTGACCTAAACACAAGCAGTCGTTTCACTATCTTGCACTTGCATCAATAAATGAAGAAAACTCGTGGACGCCATGAGTCGGCATTTGCTCACAGGTCAAGCTTTAGTCGAGCTAGTTGGGCCAGATTCCTGACCTGCAAGCTGAAAGAAGCATAATTTGTGACCATTGCCGCCGCCGAATGGAGGCTGTGAAGATAGCGTCTCGGCATTTTTCAGCTGGCGGAGATCTAGACCAATGACATAGAGGTGCGCCCAAGGTAAAAGCATACGTTTTGTCTTTACTGGGATTCAGTCGAAAAGTCGGGTCATTCTCAAAGATCGGGTCAAGAAAACATCCACGCCAACTCGACTACCTGCTATTTCGTCTCACTCAACACACGACAATTGCTTTGCTTGTTTTTGGGCCATCTTCTTAAGTTCGCATAACTATGACGTGTACTAAATCGGGCAAAACAATTCAAAGTAGCATCGCACAATGGGAAAAAAGAGAAGTTCCTTTAATGCCGCATAATTGATCGTCAAACCGAAGCTTCATAGCAAGAAGCTTGACCGAAACCAGAACACCTACTACCCATTCCAACTTCAAAAAAACACCCCTATATATTATTTCCCTACAACGATCCAAAAACAGGATCCAGCCACCTGTCAACAACATAGACGCACGCATTCCCCACGCACTTCGGCTCTCCCTTCACAGCCGCATTATTCACGCTCGTTACAGCCCCATCACCATCTCTTCTCACAACCGCCGGGAACCCAACAATTGACTTTTCACTACCAACCGTCGTCGTATCTATGAAAGGATACTCAAGCAAGTACGAAGTGAACGGCTGATTACTTGGTTGAATGGCCTTGGCGCTTTGCCCGACAGCCGCAAGAGCCGCGTTACTTGGGGCGAAGATGGAAATGTACTTTCCAGCAGGCAGAGACGAGTCTAGAAAGCTGAAGAAAGCCGGAGATGTTGCGTTCAAGAGAGCTACGTATGTCGAGATATCTGGCAAAGAAGATAGGGCCGATACGATGGTTCCCGAGGGTCGCAACTCGTACTCTAAGATTTTCTTGGCTTGTCGGCGTCTGGCGGATGCGATGGCAGATCCGTTCTTGTTGACATCGGCTCCGAAGATCGATACCAAAGGATCGATTATTGAGGTGATTTTGAAGATTGCCCCGTTTCCTACAACAGTACCTTGCGCAGAGACTAGTTGGGCTTGGTTGTTGATCGTGATAGTGTTACCCTCGGACACAAACTTGAGAGGTATGCCTTCGATGCTTATAACGGGCTTTTCCGAATTGCGAACTTCCTCGGTTGTCACAAATCCTTCTGCGATGTGAGTTCTCAGGATGGCTTCGAGGAGCACGTATGATGCTGGTGCTGTCAAAGCTGCTGCTAGTCCCGGCTGCAGCGCCTCAAATGCCTGTATCGATCAGTAACTCACTTGGTTTAAGACAGGTCGCTACCTACGGAGTTGACGGGTGCGAAAGCCGTGTACTTCCGTCCATCTGCGAGGACATTGAAGCGCTCTTCGAACGGCGGACCAGGAATACCGCTAGTACCTCCTGTACTATTGAAAAGGCTATAAAAAGTAGAAAGTTCTGGATCTTTGGAAATTGCAGTCAGGAGGGGTAGCGTATCTACGATAGCTCTTTCGACTATAGAGGAAGATGTGAGAACTGCCAGCAAAGTCACTGGACATATCCGTTTCAACAGCATCATGGTGTTTTGACCTCAATCTTCAAATCAGATCTGGGGATTTTATTTCTTTGACTTGGTTGCCTTATGGCTGAGCTGAAGCTATGATCGAGGTAGCGTAAGTTGCACTTCAAGTTTCCGTCCCCGCTCATGTTATAAGTACGTTAGACGGGCTTTGGGCAAGCACATCGGCCCTTCCAGAGGCCGTATGCTTCCTTGCCGATGCATAAAGAATGACCCCACCAAATATTTGCCAAAGAAACATGCATTCAGTAGAGACTCTCTTATTTGTTTCACAATTTACAGTCGTCTGTGATAATAAATAGCGAAACTGAGTCGACATTAACACTAAACGCATTGGCTTGATCTGCTGTCTTTGCGGCGCCTCCATAGCAGTCCGTTCGATGTTTTCAACGGATGCAATATCACTGTGGTGAGGGTATCCCATCTCTGCAATTTCGGGGATACTCTGTCATCGAATAAGGTTTCCCGCTCGAACGAATAGAGTTCATTGTGGTAGACTGCGGTACGCGGAGCAACCAATGGCGTATATCAATGGCAGGGATCTAGGATTGTTAGTCATGTTAAAAAAACATGATTACAATGTCAATTGAATCTGCCGTTGACAGTGAGGAGAACATATGTCGTCAGACGGAACGGCTCTGAAGCAGCCAATCAAGAGCGAGTGCCGATCGGAGTCTGACGGAAGGCAGACATTTAGTTACATAGACTGCATCCAGATCATGATACTTCGACCAAACATTGTTAGTGAAATGAGGAGGAAATAAGTCAAAGCTAGGTAAAATGAACGATAGGAACAGTATGCAAAGTACAGGGCCTGGAGCTGAAAAGTAGGTTCAACCCAATGATAGGCCAAGGGTTACTTCGACCAGATATGACGACATCAGCCGATTACCACATTCACATGCTAAACTTTACATGATGAAACCTAGTGGACATCCCGCCTTGAGTAATTTTCAGTCTCCCTAACCAACCCGAAAACCAGACCATACCCACGACTCAGTTTTGGCGGCTCTTGCTTATCGCGCTCTCGCCTAGTGTAGCAAAACTTCTCAAAACCTTCCTCAGCGACTCCGCAACTTTCTTAAATTGCTCATCCGTCATAGAATAAGGTGGAGTCAAAAGCAGGCAATGCTTGTTTGTACTCGCCCTTAACACGATACCGTATTCTAGAAGCACCTTTTGCTCGATATCCGTTGCGATGTCAGAAATGAGATCGATCCCAATCATGATACCAGTTCCACGGACTTGCTGAACCGTATGCAACCCCTCGAGCTCTGACTTGAGGATATCGAGAAACTCCCTGCCGCGCTTCGCACATATCTCAATCAAGTTCTCCTGGTCGATAATGTCGAGTGCGCGGAGAGCGACGGCAGAGCAGACTGGATGACCTGACCAAGTATAGTCGTACTGCCAGACATCCGATAGCATCATCTTAGTACTGATATTATTGAACGCTGTTTTCCAAATGTCGTTGCGGTAAATCACGGCTCCAGCAGGGAGATAGCCGCATATAAGACCCTTGCTGATGACCATGATATCTGGGTACATGCCGTACAACTCCATACCGAACCAGTGCCCCATCTTGGCAAATGACATGATTTCATCTGCAATCATCAAGATGCCGTACTTTCTGCAAATCCACTCCGCAAGTGGGAAGAAGTCGCGGTGCATGTCGACAGCGCCATCGTCGCCTTAAACGGGCTCAAACACGAAAGCGGCAACGGTATCAGCGCCTTCTTGGAGAATTCGTTCCTCCAGTTCCCGTGCTGTTCCGGCATCAGCAGCATATCAAGGGGATTCACATGGAAACACCACTTACCAGCCGCCTGCCCGACACTCTCTCCGTGCTTCAACTTGCTCCTTTCAAAGAACAACTCATGTGGAGGATCGATATTGCAAAACATCCTATGCGAGCTGCTCTCATACACATCACGCTCATGGCCCTCCATCCACCTCTTCCACCCGTAGTCGGAGAACTCGGGTTTCATGGACGCAGAGACAAACGTACTGCCATGGTAGCAATTGCGGAAAGAAATGAGTTTCTGCTTCTTGTAGCCTCCGCCATAGCTAGTACCTAGAGGCCCAGATTTATTCCAGTAGCGCAAAGCAAGATGATACGCAGCTTCTATGCCCTCGCCGCCGCCAGTAGTGAGGTACACGCGGGAGCCAGTTATTTTCTCTGGAAAAGCTTGAGCTGCAAGGCCGGAAAGGCGCTCGCAGAGTTTCACGGCATTTTTGTTGGTCAGATTTCGCTGGTTGGAAGAGACTTCCAGCTTCGTCATCTTTGCGTCCGCGTTAGTTTGGTCATCAGAAACAAGGTCGTATCTGACCAACCTGCTCAAAAGCAACTTGCGCGAGATCCTTGCGGCCGTGACCAAGATGGGCAACAGTAATGCCCCCCATGGCATCCAGGTATTCTTTTCCCATGACATCTTTCAGAACAGCTCCATCACCCGATTCGAAGACGACGAGCTGTCTTGGTCCTTTTTGCATGAGGGGATGACCAAAGCCGTGCATTTGATGCGCCTCATCTGAGGCTTTGAGATCTTCGTATGTGGCAGTCTCTTTACCTCCTTGTCCTAGAATCATTCTCTCCCCATCTTGGAGAGTTGCTTGGTCGTGGGAAGACATGGCAGCTGTGAGTGAGAATGATCGGGAGGACAGCGGAGGAGTTGTGAATGCTCGAAGCGACGATAGCAAGGGGCGACGGATACGGAGAGAAAACATGGTACAAGATAGCGATTCCAACTTTGATGCGGAGCAAATAGCTCATATATCGTTCAATAAATGAGGCAGGGCAATGTAACAAGAAGCATGTCATTTGTTTGTCAATGGGAGGCCTCGGACTAATGCATGCACCATCGTGAGAAATTCAGGTAACTAATTCTGGAATTCATCATATCGTCATTCTGAAGGAACAATCAGAAAATACTACATATCGAAAAACAGGTTCCTTAAAGTTCCTTCAGCTCTGGGGTGCCAGCAGCCCGCGGCTCCGAGAACTTCGTTTCAACGAAACACTTTAGTAAGCCATCCTGGCGCTTCTCCTGCAGATAGTAGGCCTTCGCAATGTCCTCAATTTTGAGGCGATGGGTCACCATGAATGTCGGATCGACCTCGTCCTTTTCCAGCATTTCGAGAATTTCCTTCCAATCTGTTGCATGTCAGTAAATAAGCCCACCCATTTAGGCACGAGATCCTTACATTTCTGAACTGGACACTGTCCGCATCCAATCAGTCGAATGCCGCGTTCCATAACCGCACCAATGTTGAAGTGGTTCGTAACTGTAGCAGAATGAGTCCAAGTCCACAGCCAACTATGATTCGACAACTTACATCCAACGTAATCTCCAATGATACCAACTCGGCCAAACTTCCTGGTTGAGTAAATGCACTCGTTGATCATCTCGGACGTGTCCTGCTCCATTCCAGACATCAATTCAAGCTTGTGTGTCCAAGTCTTTGCATACTCTCCGCCGCTAGCCTCGATACAAGCGTCGACACCTCCAGGGACCATCTCATGGATCTTGGCAGGAATGGACTGCTTCTTGAGCTCTTCGTAGTTGATTGTCTCCAGTCCCGGGATCTTTTTCTTTGCAAACTCAGTGCGCCAATTGTTGTCAATGCCAATGACACGCTTCGCGCCCTTCTTAAACGCCCATACACATGCCATGAGGCCGATAGGTCCAAGACCCCAGATAGCAACACTGTCACCTTCAAAGACGCCAGTGTCACACACGCTGTGGTAGGATGTCGGAAGTACGTCAGAAAGATAAAGACCTTATTCTTATCAGCATCATTCACTTGCAAGGCCAACTAAATAACTTACCCTTCTCAAAAGGAACACTGTCCGGCAACTTCAAAAGATTCTGATCGCCAAACGGCACCCTAACATACTCCGCCTGTCCACCGGCATATCCGCCCACAAAATGCGAATACCCAAATATGCCCCCCATCTTCTCGCCATACAGCATCTGATGGACGGTAGACGCATTCGTCTTATCGCAAGCCGTCGTAAGATTCTGCTTGCAAAACCTACACTCACCGCACGAGACAACGAAGCTATTCACAACGCGATCTCCAACTTTTCGCTCAGTAACTTTAGACCCAACTTGCTCGACGACGCCACAGAATTCGTGGCCGAGGATATCACCCTTCTCCGTCTGGATGATGACGCCGTGCAGGAGATGCACGTCGCTTCCGCAGACAGTGGAGCCGGTGACACGTACAAGCACATCGTGGTCCTCAATGAGCTTGGGCTTGCTGACGTCCTCTTTACGGGAATAATCAGTTGAAGCTTTATTGAAACGTTGGATGGTTGTACATACGAACACGCACGTCGTTCTTTCCCATCCACACCAGCGCCTTCATCTTCTCGCCAGACGGGTCCGCGTACTTTCCTCCATCACGATCCGGATTGGAGATATCAGCTTGCGTTACGGTACTCTGTTGATCGTGTCCAAGGACCTTTTCGGCCTGTTTTGCTGCAAAGTTTTCCGCCATGATTGTTCGTGCTTGTTATTTCCAAGAGGATGAAGATTGGATGTAGAGTTCGACCTGGTGTTCGAGGCACCCCCCACTTATCATGTCTGATACCGCCAGTATAATAGCAACCAACGTTGCAATAAAAGCATTCTGACGCTGCTATGACGACGCAACGTCGACAGCTGTTCCGAGCAGCGTATGCAGCTTTCACGAGAGCTGAATGTCAGTTTTCACCGCGTGACGTCAAAATGAAAGAAACACTGGGGTTTCATTACCACCACGCGACGTAAGGTCGAATACCTCACCCTACACTCTACCTTCTCAGCCTCAATCCCAACCTCAATCTCCAACAAACACAACGCCAACACATACCAAAGGAAATGCCACAATACCACCACCCCGGAGGCACCGTCTCCTACCCGGACGCAAAATCCTTCTACCCCTCCGTCCCTCGCGTCAGTTTCGGCCGCGCCGTCGCGATCGGTCTCTCCGCCGGCTTCCTCGGTGCCCTCGTGTAACACTTCCCCCCTTCCATACCAAGCCCCTCCTCCAAACTAACCAACTCCCCCAGCATGTCCGGCACCAACAAACTCGAACAACTTCTCACCCACCGCCCAAACTCCTTCGTTCCCGCCCGTACAATCGGCAACCACCTCGGCGTCAGCGCCTCCTTCTACGAGCGCAACACCAACCTGCTCAACCACCTCCATCACTTCGGAATGGGCATCTTAGCCGGACCGGTGAGGGCGGTGATGTCGTATTACGGGGTGATTGGCCCGTTTGCGTCATTTGTACATACGGGGATTAGGATGATGATGGATCAGAGTGTGGAATTGACGGCGGGGACGAGCGCGGTGCCGTGGTCGTGGCCGATTAATGAGCAGGTGGTGGATGTGCTGCATAAGGGGGTTTATGCGGTTGTCACGGGGTATGTTTGTGATCGGGTAGTTAGGGGGGTGGACTGGTTTGGAAGGGATTGAGCCGAGTGCGGGTAGATAGTGTACAGTAAAGAGGTAAAAGGGAAAACATGTTGATCATGATTTTGTGGTTGGGTAGATTTTGTATTGTACAGTAACTCCAAACGAGATTTTGAACGGTTAATCACGGAACTTAGGCATTCTTGTCCATTCTCGCCTTCCCCCTCTCCTCTTTATTCTCCGGTCCCGGCCGATCCGTCGAAACAGTGCCCTTGAGCTTCGCCGTCTCCGCCACACCCTCACCCTTCTTACTTTTCTCGGGCTGGTGCGAGACCTGCGATGTATGATGCGTATCTGCGTTCGACAGACCCTCTTGTTTGCCAGACATGTGGTTCATGCTTGTGGGTTTGCCGCGGGGATCGGGCTGTTGTTGTATTAGCAATCTTGACATCCCGAAGAACAGAAAAGAAAGAGTGAAAGAGGGTTAGGTATTCGGGGGGGAGGTAGGTGTAAGTAAACGAACCTTGTCGTATAAGTCAGGCGTCACGGCGCCTGGGTCCCCAGACTTCTTGGAATCACGCGGTCCGTGGCCTCTGAGACCGCCTTCTTCGTCGGGGTCAGGACGACCGGCGCCAGGTTGACTAGAATCAGGTTTCTCTTGTATCTTTTTCTGTCCCAGCTTTTCGCCGCTTTTGCCGTTCTGAGTCCCGGGTGCAAAGTCCTTGTCTGCTTGATCCGTTAGCTTCGGTTCAACGGGAGTGTCGGGGGATTTATCTGACCCTTTGATGGTGTAGTATTGCCCTCGTTTTTGTAGGTGATTTCACCCACGTTGGTGTGTTGCGCTTTTGCTTGCTTGCTGTCGGCGTGGGAGGTGTCTTGCTTTGTCACGAGATAAAGACCCCCAGCGGTACCGACAGCGGCGGCTGCCATCCTGCAGGAACATGTTATTGATTTGACATTTCAAGGGTTTTGTCAAACGTACCATGGGACGTTGCTTGTGTTCATTTTGGCGGGTAGGCCGCGCGCGCTGGCATACGTCCGACCTTGGACTTGGACTGCATTGCGCAATGGGTGGAGCCTCGAGGCTACGCGCGACGTGGTTGATCGAAGTAAAGACATTGTGGATTGAAATTCAAGGATTGAGATGATTGAGACATGGCAGAATTTCAGACGGCGGTTTTGATGATATTGAGGCACTTGGTGTTGCTAACACGGACATATCGTCAGAGCGCAATAGTTGGTGCGTCACACGGGTAATCGCAACGTAGTGTAAGCGTCACTGAAGCACATCACTATGCGATTCCTAATCCGAGGACACTCAAATCTGGTCTTCCTCATATGGCTTAAACTTTAAGAGGAGAATGGCTAATCTCGTTCGCGTCACTCGGTATAAGGACAATCTGGTTTGGAATGGCGTCATCTCGACACCATTGTAATGTATGATGCGCGTTGACATGCATCTCTTCCCATACCTGTCACACCCCACATAGATTCATAAGAAGCATGACTACGACACATGCAGTTATCGATCGAGGAAGCCTTCAAGTCGAAAAGAAGAAAATGCCTTTCATTAAGCAGCAATAAATCGCAATCCCACGCTAACCCAAGTCTAAACAAAACGCCAAGGAACCTTTCTATAAAGATGACCCGATATGGCTCACTCTTATGAGCACTCTACACACCCTACTTCAATCCCCTCAATAACAAACGGCTTGCTAAGCTCGCTGGGCACACTCACCTTGCTCAAATCAAGATCCTTTACACTGCCCGTCTCGCTGGTAGTCTCACTACCAAGCGCAGAGTCGCTCTTGCGCCGGCGAGCCTCAGTCTCTTCTTCAATATAAGCATACTCGTTGCGCCAGTCACACAGCATCCTGCTGTTGACATTGCTGCCGCCACAGAGGACAATGACGACTTTATCTTCGGGGCGGACAGGGCGACCAAGTGCTTTCTCGAGACGCCCATCGTAACAGAGAGCAACGTTGATGCCGCAGGCGAGCTCGACCATGATGCGCTCGTCGTCAGCAAGACGCCAGCAGCCCATTGCGGCTTCAGCATCGGGAAGAACGACGCTGCGGACATTGCCGCGTTGGGCGTATTTGAAGGTTGCGTCTGTGACGCGGGCGCAGCCTAGGCTGGTTGCTTGGGATGTGATTTTGGGGAGGGTGATGACTTCTTTGGCTTGGAGGGCCGCGTGTAGACTCTCGGCTCCGGCAGTCTCCATGGCGAGGATGGTGGTCTTGGTCATGTTGAGGGAATCCATGGCTTGACAGATGCCGTTGAGAAGGCCGCCGCCGCCGACGGAGCAGATGAGGACATCGGGCTCCTCGCCGCCAGGCATCTGGGCTGCAATCTCGGTCATGCAAGTGCTGTTGCCTTGCCAGATATCTGGGTGGTCAAAGGGTGGGCAGTAGATGGTTTCTGTTTGTGCCTGTGTGATGTGTTAGTCCAGTGAAGCCATGTGATGTGAGATGGGGACGACGTACATAGGGCATGACGTGCTCCTTCAAGTATGCATCAGCATCCTTCCATGCGGCACCATGTTGGATGACTTCGTATGCACCAGCAGCCCTGAGCTTAGCTACCATCAAGGGTGCAGTAGCGGTCGGCACGACAACAGTGCATAGTAGGTTGAGGGCACGAGCCGAGTGAACAGCAGCGAGGCCAGCATTCCCACCACTGGAAGCAAAGATGTGAGGGCGTGTGCCTTTAGGAAACTCTGCGAGACGACGGAGGATGTAGTTGCCGATGCCTCTGTTGCTGCATTAGTAAAGTGACAACCATGAACAGTGTAGTCAATCCTTACCGTGACTTGAATGATCCGGAAGGCTGGAGGTTTTCCAGCTTGAGGAAGACTCTGCTTCTGCGATTTAGAAATCTCTTTTCCCAAATGGTGAAAGTGAAACTTGGGTGACAGGAAAAGTGTGACCGTACCATCCCGCTGCTTCAGAAAGCGCATACGACTCCCTCAATGGAGTCTGAACCCAAGGGCTCTGGGCAGACTGCTCCTCAGTGTGGTACTCCTTGACGGCCATGTTGAAGATAGTAAACAAAGTTGGGTATCACAAAAAAAGTATCAAGAACAAGTGCAGGATGAAAGCCTAGTGAAGATTATGGGACCTGGAGCTTTCAAAGTTTCTTTCGCGGATGTCAAACTCAAGTACACAGGATTCTGATCTTTTATCTCTACCAAAATTCTCCTTATCGCTCCGCACGCACCCGCAACCCCAGAGTCCAGGTGCATAGGGCCAGTGGGGTAACTGGCTCATCACAACCATGATACCTAGTATTGATTACCCTATAAAGTGCATGAATTACCCTATAGATTCTCGATAAGGAACAGGCGACCACGTAGGTACCGCAGAATGACACAAGCATGAGACCCGGTCCTCGAAAAACCAGTCCCTGGTTTGCATTTCCCGATGCGGTTATCAGCGGCGGTCTATATTCTGCCGGGCGTTACCGCCTCAGATGGCGTTATGCTTTTGGCGTATTTGCCTATCACAAGACGCGAACCAGTCGTTTATACAGGGGAGCTTGTCCAAAAGGTACCCATCCGATCACAGCTCGGCGCAACAGTGGGGATGGTGTTGGGCTCGGGAAAGTCGCGGAATCCAAGAGGAGATCCCCGACGGAAAGGGAAACTAAAAAGCATGCAACCGCATGGCGCGTCCTAGCCTGTTATCACGATCGGAATATTCGCCAACAATGCGTTTGCGGGTACTCTAGGCACTTTCGAAATGTACTCGCACTGGAATATGACATGTGTGGTGCGGATCCGCAGAGGTAGAAATGGATCTACGCAGTTCATCCTCGTCGATTCTACCCGGCCCTAGTCTACGCAGCGACCTTGGGCTGTTCGAGCAAGCCCTTTCTGAAGTTCCAGTAACTGGCGCGTATCGGGTCGTATTTGGTCGCCAAAAGATCCAACGCCTGCTCGGCTCTCCTCTTACCGTCTTCTTCTTCGGCGTAAATGTCGGCCAGCAGGTCCAGGGCGTGGCTTGAGTGCACGTTGTCGGGGTCTTGGACGTCGGCAAACTCACCTGCAAAGTCCTTGAGGGTGGACTTGGGGAGTCCGGCCGCACGGAGGATTCCAAGGATGTAGTTCCACGGGCTCTGGTTCTGGGGCGCTTTACGAATGGCTGCTTTTGTGTACCTAGTCGGGTTAGCAGTCAGCCATGTGCGGGAGCAGTAACAGCAGTAGCTCACTCTATCTCGCGGTCGGCAATGTCTGCGCTGGGCTTGCCTTCACGGCCTCCGATGACCAGGTAGTAGCGGTGGTTCCACGCCGAATTATTCCGAACATCCTGCTCAATCATGTCGTGTGTCCATTCCAGCTCTTCGGGCTTGTCAAACATGTCAAACCGCTTGACCAGCCATTGCCTGTAGCTCCACACATGGTAGTTCTTGGAGTCGAGCTCCAGCATGGAATTGATGAACTCGGGCTCGCCCTCTGGTGAGCCCAGCTGGTCAATAATGGTATGGCGGTGATGCCAGATCTGGTAGTTCTTGAGGTGTTTGAGCGCAGTTGGATTGAGCCATGCGATTTCGTCCTGCAACGACCTGCCGATTTCGGATATGGTTTTCACGCGGTAGAGCCTGTGGAGCATCAGGTAGCCGTAAGGTGTGCATGCAGGTCGACTCACCAGACAGTGTAGTGCGCGGGGTTCATGCTGATGATGTGCTCTGTGAGGCCGAGGACTCGCTCGCTGTACTCAGTTTTGGCCATTATGGCGCGCAGGTAGCCCATGGCCTCGCTGTACTCGTCGCTATACGCAATGGCAGCGAGGGGATGCAGACCGCCGTCATCCTGGGGGAGGGGTTCTATGTCCGCCCATGCCTCGTCATCGTGGTAGAATTTGGGCATTCTGCCGTCTCTGCCAGACGCGTCTAGCTCTTCGAAGTATGAGCGCGTGGGGAGCAGGGCGCGCAGTAGGCGATATGGCAGCAAGGTGATGGCCCCTAGCCAGGCGCGGATAAGGTGGAAGAAAGCCATGGCGGGGTCTAGTCGAGCAACCTCGACTCCACTGCTTGGCGGAAATCGCGACCTCTTGTGGAATTTCTATCTCTCGCAGAACAATAGCAGCCTGTTTGGCACAAGTATGAGCGCCAATTGCATATGGGCAATAGGTGGCGCATGTTGGTGAATCTTGTGCCAGGAAATCCCTCGCAGATTGATCCATTGTGCACATGGGGTGTTTTCTGAGCATATGCAACGAACAATGCTAAGGGCTGGTATGTACTAAATCGCGCCCTATGAATCCATCACCCCGCGTATGCAGTCTTCTCATATGGGGATGATGCGTATGAATACGAGCATGGCGGATGCAAGGACTTTGGAACATGATTTGGGAGTTTGTAGACTTCTCAACGAGGGCCAGTACAGGCCATAGTCACGTGGTGCACATGGCCATACATTGTCTGTACTAATCTTTTACCCAGATCAAATCAGAATCATCCAAAGAACTACATTGATATTTTTCCCCAAGATTGCTCGATAATTTACCAAGTAAAATCTCCAAAAGAGGAATAAATATATGCATATCACCACCAGCTTCCCTCACCTCACCCCCCATCTCCCACGCACCTTCTCCCACCTCCCCCAACCCTCGCTCTTTCCACCCCCAAAAAAGAAATGCCAATCCACTCCCCTCCTATTCCTTTCTCTCTCTCCACAACACCCAAACACCACCTCACCCACGCAAATGTCTCAAACAAACCCACCAACCTCAACCACACCTTCACCCCACTCCCTCGCGCAACCCTCCCACCTCCCAACCCCCCAGGACACACTAGTCCCCTACCTGATCTTCGAAATAGAAGATTACCTCTCTGAAGACTACCTCGGCAAATCCATGGAGCGCACGCAAGCCGACTATACACCTTCACAGTTAAATAGAATACGAATCACTGTAATTTTTCTTCTCTCTACTTTTATACTACCTTTTCACCCAACTCACTCACACATCCAGCTCCGCGCCATCCTCTCCTTCACCTCCTCCTACGCGTCCTACAAACTCCAGGCCACCTGGCAACAATGGGCCACGAATCCGTACAACCTGCATCCGTCGTGGCACCTCTTTATCTTGTTTATGCTCCTGGCCTGGATAATTGAGAGTTCGGTGTGTGGGTTTTATGAGGTTGGGGCTGATGGGGGCAAGTTGAGGATTGCGAAGTTTTGTAGGGGTGCGCTGGGGAGCGTGCCGCCGATTATTCAGTTGATTTTGTTTTTGTATCCGCCGCTTTTTGTGCAGTTTTGAGGTGGTGGAGGGGGTGGGTCAATGGGAGTGAGTGAGAAAGAAGGAAGAAAGGGAAAGAGGAAAGGGGGCGAAGAAAAGAGATACCAAGACAATGGGCCGATTTATGATTCTCGATAAGCCGAAACCACTCGGGTACCAATAAACAAGAGCGAAGAGAAAATGAAAAGCCAATACGCCGTGGAACTCAACAATCAAAACGCCCTTTACGCCCCCATCCGCAGCCATCAGTACTAATACACAACAAACCCAAGTTCACCACTTACGCCTGCGTCTCCTGCGTCCCCAACAACCTCACTAAATCCTCCAACCCCCCCTCCTTCTCCCCAAACGCCACCCCAACCACCCTCCCCTTCTCCTCCTGAATCCCCAACACCCTCTCCTCCACACTCCCCTCAACCACCCTCCTCCAAACCCTCGTTTCCCGCGTCTGCCTCAACCAATGCACCCTATCGACCGCCTGATCCTCAATCGCGGGAGCCCACCACGAGTCCGAGAGGATAACTTGGTTGGCAGCGACGAGATTGAGACCAACGCTGCAGACGGAGAGGGAGGCTAGCAGGATTGTGGTGATGGGGGAGGAGGTGAAGGTGTGTAAGGCGGTGTCCCGCGCGGAAGGCGGCATGGAGCCATCGATGCGGGTGTAGGAGTACGAGTGCGCGGTTAGATGTGGGGAGAAGAGGGAGAGGAACGGGGGCCATTGGGAGAAGATGATTGTTTTTTTGCAGTGGGATCTTTGTGGGAGGCGGAGAGGATGGAGAAGATGGCTTTAATCTTTGTGCTTGTGTTTTGCTCCAAGGATTCTTTGTCGAGGGTTTCGGACTGAGATGGTAGGGCGGGGGGGTTGAAGCTGCTTTGAGGGTTTGACGGTTCTGGTGAGGAGGGAGTCGAGGGGGGGAGCGGCATAAAGGTCATTTCTGGGTTGATTCGAGGATACGCTCGAGACAGGGGGTGCAGAAGGTGTGGGCGCAGGTTGTGATGAGGAGGTCTTTGTACATGTCGAGGCAGATGGGACAGTCTTCTTGCGAGTCTATGGAGAGTTGGAGGAGTTTTTGCAGCGCGAGCTTGGTTTCGTCGGTTAGATCTACCGTGCCGTTTTCGTCGAGCTACTGCATGATGGAGTCAAGGCGTTCTGTGCTGACGAGCTGCCAGCGGTTGCATACTTGGCTTGAGCGAAGTAGGATTTCGAGGAGGTGACGGTATGTAGTTGCTGCATCCTTTTTGCCGATGCTCTTCCTGTACTTGTCGAGTTGGCCTTTGGCTTCGGCCTCGAGGACGTTGTACCTTTTCCTGCTCGTGTGGGAGCAGTTTTACTTTATGGATGTATTCTGAAAGGGGCGGGTAGGCGCAAGTCGATGAATGACATTTCTTTCTTGCGTCGCAGACCTATGTCTGACATGAGCTTTTGAAGAACCTGCTGAACCCGCAACGTGGCCTTGCATCACGGGACGCATGATGGTGCGCTGTGGAAGACGTCGAAGTTTTCGATGCCACCTGAGAGACGCAAGAAGCGGACTTGACTGTAGAGATCCTTGAGGTTGTTGATAATCGGTGTGCCGGTAAGAGACCATCGTGACTGAGCCATGAGATTGGAAATGGCAACCGTCTTCTTGGCTTTGGGATTGCGTATATTATGTCCCTCGTCCAAGATTACGCGCAGCCACTTGATAGAGAAGGGGCCTGACTTGCGCGGAAGGGAAGTCGACTTTTGCGAAAACCAATCAGAAGATATTGACTCGTACGTGCTGATGACTATATATCGTAATCCTTAATTGACTTGGGCGTGATGGGTTCCTTTTTCTGTCCATGCCAGAACATGACACGGAGGGCGTGTTCCGGCTTGATGTGATGCTCCATCTGTGTACTCCAGTTGCTCATTACAGAAACAGGCGCAAGTATGAGCGTAGCCCCGGTTGCATCTTTGGCACCGCGACCGAGTTCTCGATCGGCGACAATGAGGGAAATAAGTCTGAATGTTCTTTCCCAAGCCCATGTCATCAGCGAGGATACCACCTGAAGCTAGAGATGGATTCTTGACAGAGAAGCTTGTTACAACATTTGTATAAACATCAAGTACGTTCATATAGGAACGCCAAAGCTGAACAACATTCTTGCCCTCTTTGGTTAGGAAGCTTAGGACTCTCCTTGTCGAGCATCCACTGCAAGCCTTGCAATTGGAAAGGGTGCAGTTCGGTGACGAGAGCATTGGGTTGGGGAGCCTGAGGCATCTTAGCAAGATCCTCCTACTTAACCCCAAACTCCTCAACGAATTCCTCAATGTTTCTGGGATCAAATCGCTCGCTTCCGAGAATAATATCCTCTAGACTAGGCCCCGTCAACGAAGGATCAGCCGGCGGCAAGCCCGCAGCAAACTCGGCCATGCTGGCCTCTGGACCTTCAATCGGCCCCACGGCCTTCGCATCCTTCTTCTTCGTTCGTTTGGTGGCCTCTTTGGCTCTGCGCTCTTACTCCTTTTTCTCTGCAGCCTCCCTGCGCTGCCGTTCAGACGCACGTCCGACGGGTAGTCTGTCCTTCTTCATCCTAGCCATGAGCTGCTGGCGCTGTACAGGATCGTCTGTTCCGTAGAGCAGGAGCTCAATGGGACACTCGTAGTAACCTTTGTATCCCGTGATTCGGGCATCAATCAGCAGACTGCAATCATCCATGTATTTCGCCAACTTGGCTGCCAGTCCTCTTGGGATATGGCCGATTTGCTCTCCCCGGACGTTATCGACACAGATGGCGTTTGCGTCGTATTGGTTGTGTGGTTCTCTGCGCAGCACCACCGTTTCTCCTTCGGTAGCATATCCATTGTAGTACCTCACGCCGACGATTTTGTCATCTAAAGCGCCGTAGAATAGGTAGTTGTAATGCTGCTGGCTGTATCCTTGGGTTGCATCGGGGGCTTCTATAAGGCATCCTCCTCCTCATATTCGTCATCGTAGTCCAACATAACATCGGTAGATACGTCTTCTCGCGATGAGCTGTACCCATGCGCTGCACTAGGAGCTCCCTACTCAGCATCCTCCTCATCCTCCTCCAACTCTACGTTGAAATCATCATCATAATCCCACACATCCCCGGGCGTCATATCCTCCAGCGTTATGCTATTCCTCGCCCTTTGCCCCCATCATACAACATACGCGACTGCTTTGGTGCGCGATAGTACGAGCCGCCATCATACGCGTCATCAGCACGTCTTTTCCGCGCCATTCTGTCTCAATGCCACTGTTTGCAGCGTGTCAAAAGAAAGAGAAGAAGGAAAAAGTGAGAATGGGGGGGAAAGGGTTCAAGGGCTGTTGATCGCAAAGATTATGGTCGTAATCGGTTTCGCGGCGCGGGAGAGGGATATTGATCGCTTCTCACGCTAGAAACGCGTACGCAGGTGACATCATACGAGGTTTTAATCCACACACACCACACGATGTTGCGCTATTTCTTTTCAGCGCAAACATTTATTTGTCTACATAAGTATTGATTTGCACAAGTAACCCTGGGTTGTATCACGTATATGACTTTACTTTTTCTTTTTGGCTATGTTTGCTATATAGCGTATCAGATCAATTATCTCAGAAAAGAATGGCAGGCCACGCCCCCAACCTGCCGAAACCGGGTATAAAGAAAAATGGTTAAGGGTCTGAGAGAAGTACGTCTGCGAGACCCTTACTTTGAACCCTTAGGAAGTGCCATGTGTATAAAAAAGTATTATAATCTTTTAATGGAACCCAATGGGAAAAAAAAGAAAAACTTGCTTAAGGATTTATCTTGTAAATTTTTACTCTTTGATATATTATGTCCATGTCGGCGAAAATACATTACGAAATTGTGAGTAAGTTCACATAAGAAAACCCATGTTGAAATCCCAATCTTCCCTTTTTTCTCCAACCTACTATACCATCTCATTCAATTCGTTAAATAAAAATAACTAGTACACCTCAATCCAACTAATTCCCCCCTCCATTTCTCTATCCACTCTGCCCCCCCCCACCCCCCTCGCCAATCGTCGTATCAATACCCTTTCCCATCTTTATTTTTCCTACTAGCCTGTTCCTGACGATCACATGCATGTAGTAGGTGGTGGGTTTTGGAGAAAGGCAGGCGCTAATGCAGCCCCATCTTCCCCGTTTCCCCCCCCCCCACTACCGCCACCCGCAAGCACGTAATAACCAACAACCATACTTTCATCATTTACTCTAAAAAAAAATTCCACGGCTTAACAATGTACACAGCTACAGGCCCCTTAGGGGGGGTCCCGGTCGATACAACATTGCCGTTAAAATCAAGATTGATATCTCATTTTATTCTGTTTTGATTTTAATAGTTAGTTAATTAGTTAACTAGTTAATATCAAACATATTTAATAATAAATAATCCTCTCACAGCACAAAAAAAAAGTCAAGTGTGTGACACAGCCTACTATAATTTACTCTAGACCCGTAATCACAGTGCAACAACGAGTTTATTCGTTTCTGCTGTTTTAACGGAAATAATACAACATCGACCTCTCTCTCATAACCGTAATCTCATATTTCACGTGACAAAAAAAACTCTTGGCATTACGACACTCGTGCGATTGTTTTCTGATACTGTAAAAGAAGCCCCAGTCTTAGCATGAAAGCGTGTTGAAATTTAAAAACATGGCATACAAAGGTAAGAAAAAAAACTTTTTTTGCGCATATGCACTTGTTTTACTGTGATTAACAAATCTTTTATTTCCACGTGAAACATCATGCGGTGGTGACGCGACACGAAAAAAAGCCGTCAAGCGCAAGCAAGAAAAACACAACCTCGAGGGCGACGAGGACGATGCAATTTCGGAGGGTTCTTTGCTTTGCTTCTATTTATTCCTCGCCAGCAAAAACGGCATGAATTATTGTTTGGCATGGGAGGCGGAAAATAGGCCAAAAAGTTGCCAAGTCACGCGCAAAAAAGGTATGTTCTATCTTTTTCCAGTGAAGACGCCACTAAAATCGTAAAAAAGACAACAGGCGCCACCACAAAGTGTATATGATAGATTGTGCAATATGTTTACTCTGGCAGGTCAACGACACATGAAGGGCCATGGAAGAAATATGGCCCTCAAGCAACCGGGGAAACGGACTATCGACCTGCGCCGCATAACAAGAGAAAGCTTGTACGTAGGGATGTCGAGTTTTTATTCTCGGTGCGACGACTAGCGCCGGCGGTCGAGTTTCTCCGATATACGCTCACACGTGATGGTCGGGTAAATTGCGGGCCAAGCGAGAGAGGACGGTCAAAATTCTTTCGTGTGGCTTGGCTTCCTTCCCTTCTTCTTTTTTTTTCCATGGCCGTTGATGATATCTCATATCAAGATAGGAAGAGTAAGACGTAGCCAAATGGCCGCGACTGATTACAACTCATCACCACCTTCTGAGGCCTGTCTCCGACCCCGTCCCGTTGTCTTGTCTGTGTGGCTCCGAGTGTCGACGCGGTTGTTACAGGAGCTGTTGATGCGGAAGCTAGACGCGACCGTTAACTGACACCTGTATGTTTCGCGCATTTGACGGGATGCGCAGGCCTGTGAAACGGACTGGGTGCCAGGCATTCATGGGCGACTTCGCAATGGCGGCTGTTGCTGCTTCAGACAGACGGCCTTTGACCATTGCATGTTTCAGCGAGGATGAACAGCCTGGGAGACCCACGACCATGGGCGCACGTAGCGGAGCATTATTATCCTATTCTTGCTTGTCCAAATTCATGCCTCGACGTGTTTCCGACACAATGGATTTCTTCTGCCCGCCGTATTATGTAACTTGCCAACTTGGATACGCTGTGCATGGCTACAGGCCGCCCTGGCGTCTCGTTTCCTGTCGGCTATGTGCTCTACTCTTGTAAGTACGATCTCGGCTCTTGCCCTGCGCACTTTGCAGTCGCACGGCTATTCGGTGTCTGAGCGTCACGGGCCAAGCTCGTCCGACACCGACAGACGGCACTTTGCGGTGTTATGCCGCGGACTGCTCACCGACTCGAAATTTGATCGAGCTTGTCCCGGGATCTTGTTCAGTGTGCTCGTAAAAGAGATTCCAGACCGTTTGATACCTTCCTCATACAACACCCACGCAGAAAAGCAGCCGGTCGTGAATCATGGGTGCTACCTGTATCAGTACGACGATAATGTAGTCGTGCTGGATGGGCGTCGGCTGCCTACTGCCTGGCAATTTGAAATAGCCACTACTTTTTACGTCAATGGACGACGTCACTGCCGCCCCGTATCCAGCATTCACGATACCACATACGTAGTCTGCGTACTACTGTTACATGCCAAATCGAACTCTGTAGGCTCATCACATTTGTTTAGTTGGCCGAGGAGAGCACAAAACTGGATGCGGCTGCGTCGATATGCGTTCATTGGAATTGCGATCGTCGACCCTGTCATGCTCGTCTGCCCAAGATCTGCACTTGGATCGGCGACTTTAGCTGTAACCACCTGTTGGCTCCTCTGAGAAAGCACAGTTGCTAGCCGTCTACGGACGGTTTGGCCCGCAGCGTTTGCAGGTTGCAAGAGAGACCCTGGGATGGAACAAGCAAGCAAGCAAGCAACAGTGCTGCAGCTGCAGCTGAATGCTGATGCTGCGACGCCCCCAGTCACCTTGTTGAGCCCATTTTCTGGCTGGTACGAGTCACAGTTTACAAATGTCGAATCACAGGCGTGCGGAGGGCTGGCAGAGATTTGGATGACCAGCCAAGACGCGACTTACCAAAGATTTGCATAGTAGAGACGCCATTGGTGACTTTGGGCAATGGATTACGCGGGCAGTGTCGTTCCGAAGAACTATGTCGAGGCTAAGCCCAGATGGACACTGGTTTCGCCGTGGGCTTATCATAGAGTGACCATGGCGACAGATGCCCACGTGTATGTGTTGCAAGATGCAGGCGCAGGCTACATGGACCTCGACCGCCTGTTCGTATGTGCTGAACTTGGTCAGGCCGGCCGGACCGGCAGTGGCCACGACGGCTCCAGAACGCGGGCCTTGTGCAAGTTCCACTTGCCGTGTGGCCCAGACGAGACATGTGTCTGTCACCGATGTCTTGCGTATCAGACATTGGTCTTTGGCATGCCTGAGCTGCGTTTTACACCAAGCGTCTTTTGCTGGGCCTACCATGACACGACACTGCATAGCACTTTTGCATGCATTCAGCACTGAGCACCCAGCAGCAGCAAATTGTGGGGAAGGCACATATTCCAGAAGCACCAACGCCGGGGACCAGTCAGACGGCACCCACACGGAGCGAGGGAAGGAGATTGCAGAAGACCCTAGACCCTGCGCTCAGCATAACGCGAATTTCGCCTGAAAGGCAGGTCTCGAGGCTCGTGCTCGACAGACCTGGACAGTCGGACAGGTCGAATCTGTGATCTGCCCGCCTGGCAGCTGCCTGATTGGGACCAAATGGCCGTTTTGTCACTGCGGCGGACTTGGGGGCAATGGCATCATCATCATCTTTGCCCGCGTTTCACAACGTCAGCAACAACAAGCAGGTGGAGCAAGAAAGAGTGGAAATGGGTTGCGTCGAGTTTGGTGGGCTTGGAGACGTTCAGCGTCTGGGCGACAGTTGACGTCCGTCATAGCTGCCGATAGTCGGGCAGAGGCCACAGACAGACGACACGGTGCGGGCTGAGGTGCAGGTGTAGGCGTGAGGCACAGAGTCAGGCCATGAGTTTGCGGCGGTCGCGCAATGCAGGCGTGAATAGTTAGTAGCAGGCGCGTCTTTCGCGGAGGCGGATGGATGGTCGCGTTGGGTTGGGGGCGCGGCATGGCGGACAAACGCGATCAGACGAGTGGCACAGGTGTCGGTGGACAAAGTTGATGGTCAAGCCGGGTGTCATGGCATTGCATCCGAAGGGCATTTGAGCGAGTCAAAGGCAGCCCTAGCGACGATGGGCCTAGTCCAAACCATGGGTGAGGGAGGGCGAGCGAGGGAGCGGCATGGAAGCCACGACCCCGCCAGACTGGAAACCTTCCTGGAATGGTCGAAGATCAGGGCCTTGGGCGAGCCAGCCAATTGCCAGGCCGGAGCCGGCGGCTTGGTGGAGGTGGTGGAGGGCGTGGTGGAGAGAGAGGGCTTTGGTGGTGGGCGAGGTGGGCGAGGTGGGCCGAAGCTATGGAAGCCACGACGACTTCCCCGGCGCCGAAGCAGTGGCAGGACCACGCACGACCACCAACGCATCCACTCGCACCCTCGCACCCGTACGCTCGACCGCCGCAGAGACGATAGTAGAGAGGCAGAGGCCCTTTGTCAGCCAGGCGTGAATCGCATCGGGACCCTGTCGAGTCGTAACACGGCCCCGCTGCGGTGGCCTTCTAGAAATTGCACACGCCCTCGCCCTCGCATGTGAAGCCGCTGACAGGCGAGGCAGCGTAAGTGGCCGGCGGCGGGCGAGGGTAGAGGATAGCGGTCAGAGAGAGGCGGGGGCGGAAGGATGGCATGGCCTGGGGGGTTGTCGATAAGACGGTGTGGTGGTGTGGGATGTATGGGAAGGGTATACTTTAGTAGGGTAGGGTAGGGCAGTAGTGTATGTTGGATGTAAGGTGGTAGAGTAAGGTGAGGTGCAGGCTAGTATGGGTAGAGTAAGTAGTGTGTAGTAGGCGTATGTCGACGGGTACAGAGATGGGATAGAGAGATATGGTGCAGTCGTTTGTTCCTGCATCGTTCCTGCAGTAGACGCGCCTCTGGATCAATCAGCTGTGCGGCCAATGTGGGGGAAGACGGCCTGGCGGATCCCATCGGGCCTGTTCGACTCGACCACCGCCGCCTGTCCCGCTCCTCTGCTCCCGCCGCTTTAACACACACACGCCCATTTAGGCCTCGCCGGCGGCTTCACAACTCTGCATCCGCTGCATTCAATAGCTCGCTGCTATTTTGTGCCGCCAGTTGCACACCCACCCCGGCCTGCACAACTCTTCCGTTTACCGCCATTGTGTGTGTGTGTTGGTGTCGAGGCTGGATGGATGGGCGACGGTCAGCATCACGAGCGGCGGCCAACCACGCCCGCCCGCCCGTTGGCCCTCCATAGATAGAACACTGTCCATGGGAGCACCCTACACCTACCGTGGCATCGCAATTCCCGCATGCTATGCCATGCTATGCCATGTTGGCTACCATTGCTGCTGCTGCTATTACAAGTACTTACTCGGCCGCCGGCCATGTGGCAAACCAGGCTCTGAAACAGACTTGCACCATGGATTCAGGCCGTAAGTGCAAGCCTGGCTATATGCCCATCCATCCCATCCACGTCCCCATCCCACTCGACCCTCCATGTCGTCGTAGGGCTCTGGCAGTGGGCACAGTAGGATGGAAAAAGAACGGTACTGGTGGCGACGTGCAGCTCGCCGCACACGAGCATGTCGCACCATGGGCCGCTGGCCGTCTTCGTAGCCACTGGGAGACGGCGCTGCCCGGCTGCTCCAGCTGGCAGGGCGATGCAGGCCTCTTGCTCTTGCATCATGGCTGACGTTCCTGCGTGAGCCCGGCACGCCGAGTCCTTTTTTTTTGCTCCAGTGTGTCGCGCGACGCCTGTGGCAATGATTGATGCAGACATGCCTTGACCTGGTGTGGCTAACGGACGGCAAGCATGGCGCACTGCAGTTGAATGACTTTGACCTCGCATTCTCTTCGTTTGGTCGTGAGACATGGCTACCACACTCTCTGCTCGACGGCCCAACATGTTAGGGAAAGCATAGCGAAGCGTCTTGCTTTCCTCCTCGCCGCCGCCGCCCTCGTCGCTTTTTTTTCTTTCTTTGCATGACGCCCCCCCATGTCCCAAGTGCAGTCCCAAGTCAGTCCCAAGTCAGTCCCAGGCCAGTCCCCAGGCCCAAGGCGGGCGTGGTGGTCAGCGAGCGACAAACGACATGGGCACCGCGTTACATTTGCTTCTGCAAGTGGTCGACGACGGTGATACTGCGGGCGATACGGCGTTGTTTGGTGTGACAGACACGGTAGAGGGGCGCGCGCGGCGTTATCACAATCACCCAGCAATCGTCATCCGCAGCGGAAGGGCCGTAACGCTGAGTGGACGTTTCAAAACACTGGGTGCCAGGGTCTGGCAGTTATCATTATCGATTGGCAGATAGCAGGATAGCCTGAATGAAACCCGGCAGCACGCTAATCTCGAGGCGAGTTGGAGTCGTGTGAGAGGGCATGCCTGTGGTTCTGGTTAGGTTAGACACACACACACACACACACACACTGACTGTCACCCGCCCGCCGCCTATTACACCATACCCACCACCCTCTTCGTCTTTGCTCCCCCAGCACCAGCACCAGCGGCAGCGGCAGTCTCAGCATCGTCTCCACTCGCCATGACTGGCCGTTGTCGCCTCACACACACACACACACATTGCAGACTACAGACTACACTACTACATCACGCACACGCACACTCACCCACTCCTAGCCGTGCCGCTGCTACTGCAAACAAAACCCTCCGTCGCCTCTTCTTCAGCTTGGGTGGCTTCGCCATCCGGACTGGGCGGCGGTACGGTCAGTGGCTACGTATGCCTGGTAGGCCGACCCTCCATCCCATCCCACCTGGGCTGGCCGTCAGCCAATACCTGCACGCCTGCCGGCGCCGCCGTGCACATCTCATTTCGCCTATAGCCCCGTGCAGCTATGCATTGGGCGAATAATTTTAGGCCCCAAACCCTGGCCGCAATGCACTCGCTGCTTTTGACGCGAGTCAGAGCGAGGGTCTAACGCAGGATCCCATTCCTAGCTGGCATGTGGAGCACGCTGCGCCCCGACGCACTAAAGCGAGCCGTCCTGGAGCGTGTGCGCATCAGTTCTCTTTTTCACTGGTCTGCCCTGGTCCAAGGTTCATCAACCACGTCCCTCTCGTTTCTTTCCGCCATCGCTGTTCACCATTTCATCTTGGGTCATAATTTTGTGCCCTCACACTCTTTGATCTACAATATCTATTAAGTGACGGTCTCGTTATTGCGAAACCGCTCCCCAGTCATTCCTTCCACTCCCTCTCTCTACTACTACTACTACTCTCTCTTCAACACCCTACATACTACTAATAACCACGTCCTTCCATCTTCACTCGGTACTACACACAATCCCTCATCCATCCAACCAACTATCGGACTGAAGCAACGACACACACCTACTCTACTCACAACTACACCACCTTTCCACAACACCCATCTGCAATGGATGGTTCATACCCTATTCACCCTACCCAAGCTATGCAATCACCATTCTTCTACTACAACCCAGATCCTCAAGGCGAGAACAACCGCCAGCACGGCCACTTCACACCACACCCTTCAGGACAATCAACTTTCCAGCCACACAACATGTACTACCAGAGGCCCACATCAGCAAACTCACAAATGTCCTACCCTCAGACTGCCTACGCCAGCCAAATGATGACTCCAGTCGCGTCGCCACAGCCAATGTACCAGAAGCCAGCCATCCTCATCCAACCTCAGGATTCCCCCTACCTTCACCCCATTGAGACCGACTACTCTTTCTCGCCTGCTACTCCTCCTCTGTCATCATGCGGCAGCAGCACCAGCAGCCCTTCCTCATACGACATCCTCCCCACTCCTCTCCACGACATGTTCCCCGGTGAGGGCATGGAGGGTGTAAAGCAGGGCTGTGAGGGTGAGGTCTTTTCTGAGATCCTTTCGGCCGGCCTCGAATGGCGTTCAACCACCCCACCAATGACACCAGGTAAGTTTGCTCACTGCTGAAGAAAAAAACCGTCATGGTTGCGTGGCTTGTTATCCGCAATTAACCGGGTGAAATGTGTGTATGTGTGTGTGAATGGCCTCGCTAACTTTTGCTCAAGTATACATCCAGCCTCCTTCAGTCAACCAGGGTTCATACCTTCTTTCCGCTACTTCTTGCCCATCTCTTTCCCCATCTCCTTCACCTCTTCCCCGCGCTACCGTCGCCGAGGCTGAGAACAACTTCTGCAACCCCCGCGATCTTACCGTCTCGGCTGCTTCTGAACTCCCCATCGTCACCCTCTGCCCTGGTGACGAGGAGCACAAGGTTGTTTTCAAGGGTGAGGCTGCCAAGGTTGACAACATTGAGTCCGTGCAGGCCTTCAGCTTCAACGGCCTTCCCACCTTTGAGCCCCTGTTTGAGCTCGACTGCGAAGACGACTTCAACGGCCTTGTCAACTTCTCCACCGACAACACCCAGTTCCTCGGTAACAAGCGCCAGCGCACTGACCTTGGCGCCTTCTCTCCCGAGGACGACTTCCTGAGCGACGAGAGCTTCACCGACTTCGAGGAGGAGCTTGTCCACAGCCTGCCTCTCACCCCCGCCGCTAGCGAGTTTGACACCATGTCCGCAGTCAAGAGGCAAACTGTCAAGAAGGCCCGCTCCGCCTTCAGCGAGACCGAGTCTGACTTCCAGGGTAAGCAACAGACATCAGGTGATGAGCACACCGTGTCTGGAGCCTCAAGCCAACAAGAATCAGGTCAAGCCGAGAACGCCGTCGCCTCCAGCTCTGACGAGAACACCACTCCTGTCGCTCCCACTAGCCGCCGCGGTCGCAAGCAGTCGCTCACTGACGACCCGTCCAAGACATTCGTCTGCACTCTCTGCTCTCGCCGCTTCCGCCGCCAGGAACATCTCAAGCGCCACTACCGCTCTCTCCACACTCACGACAAGCCCTTTGAGTGCACTGACTGCGGTAAGAAGTTCTCCAGGAGCGACAACCTCTCCCAGCACCAGCGCACCCACGGAACTGGCGCTGTCAGCCTTGAGGTCATGGGCTCCGACTTCCACCACGCCGACATGCAACACGGCCAAGGTAGCGCGTTTGGTGCACAGGCTCCTTCCACCATGGGTGAGATTCTCTACAACGCCGCTGCAGAGATCCCCACGTCAAGCTCCGACGGATCCGAGCACGAGTCAACACCCAGCCAGAAGAAGCGCAAGAGGAACGAGTAGGCATTTGTTTTTGTCGCGTTTCCTGCCTTTCAACATTTAACGACCCTTCATGACATTCACAACACTTGGTAGAAGAAACTTGCATTACGCGAGGCGACTGCTAGTCTTCCTTGACGTCGATACGCAAAGGCGCCATTGCTAGACAGGCGGCGAAGGTTTCGCACTTGAGCGGTCTGAAGCAATTCAGACCCACACAAGAGTCCCTTGCTTCACTTCACCTCTTGTATTCTACGCGTCCGATCTTGGTGGCACACACACACACTTTGATATTAGCCTCTTTTTTTTCACACTTCATTTTGCGCGTCGGTTTGGTACGTTTCTTCGGGGTTCTGGAGCGAGGAGACTGGAGGCAAACCATGGGAAGAAACGGGATTAGATTTGGTTTTTTTTTTCTCTCTCTTCCTTCTTCATCTTCCTTTTCGCTTGGGTGTTCTTTTTTTCCTCATGACGACATGGCCAATTACCCTACTCACCACCGGCCAATTGTCGCCGCGTTGCCCTCAATTGTTCATCATCACTCGTTGTAATTGGGGCTTTGTCGGTGTGGGATCTATCTTCCCTCCCGACATTTGCCACCTCTAACATTCTGGGAATCTTCGCTTCTTTTCTTCTTCAAACCATACACATGTAATCGTCTGAACTGCTCAGCACAAACACCACACACACCCCTACTACCTACACCTCCCTTATTAAAGCTCTATCGTAGCCCCAATTGTAGGTTAACGGTGCTGGCACTGTCCGACTATCATACATAGCAAAAAATGCGTTACACCGACACTTTCGGCCTCTATCTTTTTCTCTTACTTTTTCCAAACGCCTTGCATGTGAACTGGAGTGAAGCCGCGTAATGCATAAAGTTGAGTGCTTGCCATTTCTTTTTCCGCCCTAGGTCTTAGGTGATCAGTTCGGTGGCCGGGGGAAGGAGGGGCGATTGGATTGTTCCTGAGCATGAACTTACCACTTACATGTAAGTAGTAGTCAGCCTGTCAGCAGTGCAGGCGTTCCTTATTTTGGAAAACATTCATGCCGTTCTAGCGTGCGGGCGGCGCGCAACTTTAGCGAGTAATACCACTTCCAATCTGCATTTACACTTCGACTGCATCGGGCCGCCTCAACGCACCCTTCCACCCAGCGTCCGAGCCTAATCTTTTTTTTTCCCTTCTGTTGCGCCTTTTTTTGTTGCTCGTGTGCCCAGCCCAGCCCAGCTCAGCCCGGCAGACGGCGGCAGCGGCTAACCCTTCACTCACCATCTAAGGCGGCGCCATGGCGCAATCTCTAAATGTCATCGCGCTGATCTCGGGAGGCAAAGATTCACTCTTCTCCATACTCCACTGTCAAGTAAACGGCCACCGCGTCGTGGCCCTGGCCAACCTGCACCCGGGGCCCTTGCCCAATGGTGAAGAACAAGACACAAACAGTTACATGTACCAGACGGTCGGACACTCTGTAGTCCCTCTGTACTCGCAAGCACTGGATCTGCCGTTGTACCGCCGACAAATCACGGGCACAGCAGTCGATTCCAGCAGGGATTATGCGGCGCCGTTGCCCTCTTCTTCTTCTTCTCAGCAGACGCATGGTCAAAAACAAAAGTTAGCCACTCATCATCAGCAAGAGATAGTAGAGGATGATGATGGGGGTAAGCAGGACGATGAGACAGAAGATCTTATCCCATTGCTCAAACGCGTAATGCAAGCCCATCCAACCGCCAACGCCATATCCACCGGCGCAATCCTAAGCACCTACCAGCGCACGCGCGTGGAATCCGTAGCACTCAGACTTGGCCTCACGCCGCTGGCGTACCTGTGGCAGTACCCGCAGCTCCCGCCGTACGAGCAGTCTGCGCTCTTGCGCGACATGCGTGCCGTTGGGCAACAAGCAATTATCATCAAGACGGCTTCTGGCGGGCTCGACGCGTCTTTTTTGGGGCTGGATGTCGCTGGTGGCCCGGGTGCTGTGGCGCGGTTGAGCAAGGCGATGGGCATGTTTGGGGACGAAGTGGGTGCTGGGGCGATTTTGGGTGAGGGGGGCGAGTTCGAGACGCTCGCGGTGGATGGGCCGGGCCCACTGTGGAAAAAGAAGATTGGGGTTGAGGGCGAGGCGGTAGTGCTGGAGGGGGGACAGACGATGTTTAAGGTGGTGAAGAGTTGGGTGGAGGAGAAGAAGGACATGGGGGATGTAGGCGCGCTGAGGGTGCCCGAGGTGTTTGACGATGAGTTTGCAAAGGTGTTGGAGACGCTGGAGAATTCGAAGTCTGATATGGCGGATGGTACTCGGGAGAGTATTACAACTTCCACTAAGCCATCAACCAACGTCTTCCTCCTCCCTACAAACACCATCCACTCTACCCCCACCCTCCTCACAATCTCCAACCTCACCTCCCCTACCACCACCACCACCCCATCAACCCCCTCCCGCCAGCTCACATCTATCCTCCTCCTCCTCTCCCACCACCTCCGCCAGTACCGTGTCCAAAAATGCAACATAACACACACCACCCTCCTCCTCCGCTCCATGTCCCACTTCACAACCTTAAACCCCCTCTACGCCTCCTTCTTCACATCCATCAACCCCCCCTCCCGCGTCACCGTCGCCTGCTCCGACACAATGCCGGAAGGCGTAGACGTGATGCTCAGCGTAATCGCAGAGCGAAGCGAAAAAAGAGAGGGGTTGCACGTGCAAAGTACGAGTTACTGGGCTCCGGCGAATATCGGACCGTACAGCCAAGCTATTTCTGTCCCGCTACCTTCTTCTTCTTCTTCTTTCTCCGGCTCCGGTGTTGTAGGAGACGACGATGGAGAGGAAGGGGATAGAGAAGAAGAAGAAGGCAAGAGAGTAGGCGACATCGTCTACATAGCCGGTCAAATCCCCCTCCACCCCGCCTCAATGTCCCCTTACACCTCGCACGGGTTTATAGGCCAAGTCGCGCTGTCGCTGCAGCATCTGTGGCGCATTGGTGCGGTGAAGGGGGTACGATGGTGGACTGGCTGTGTCGCTTACATTCCTTCCTCCGTCACCTCTACCACATCTTCTTCTTCTTCGGTCCCACCACCCACCCCCACCGCCATCCACACAATCCAGCAAGCATGGCGAAACATCCATCTCGCAAACCAACCCACCACCACCACCACCACCTCCGACAACGAAGAAGAAGACGAAGAAGAAGATATAGACCCCTGGGACGTCCTAAACACTCACCCCACCACTTCCTTCTCCGATAAACTTCTTCGCCGTCGTATACCAGATTACACCGCTCTCCACTCCCCCACCTCCACCTCCTCTTCCTTCTCTTCTAATCAAGCACATGTCCCAATACCACCCTGCTACACAGTCCAAATATCCTCCTTGCCCCGCAACGTAGATATAGAATGGAGCGCCACTGGTCTTACCGCCTCTGGCCTATCTTTCTCAAGGGATTCATCTACAAAAACAACTACCACATCAATCCAAGGCAGCCCGGCGCAGTTTTTCAGCTGTGAAGTAAGCGGGGAAGAGGATGTGGGAATGTTGAAGGAGAGGAAGTGGACGGTTGGTACGCTTTATGTTTCGCGGAGTGCGGGGTTGGGGTGGTGGTTGGGGAGTGTGCTGGAGAAGATGGGAGGAGTGCAGTGGGTTCCTTGTGAGAGGGTGTGGGGGGAGGGGGCAAGGGAGGTTGGTGCTGTGTTTTTGGGGCGGGTTGATGGGGTAGAATGAGTATGATTGAGGAGTGAGGACATGAGGATATGATTGATGAAGTAGATGAGTGAGGATACGATTGATGAATTAGAACGATTAGAAAAAAAAAAGACCGTTAATCATTTCAAATCCATGAATTCCGTTTAGTCATGTCCGCAAAGTGTCTATATCAGACGTTAAAGAACAACTAGCTAAGCTGCCATGCACAACAATCCCATGTTGTGTGTACCGAGTCCTGCACCCAAACGCCGTACGTTTCCCACGTGTATCTGTATACGTGTATGGTATAATACAAAAAGAAGAGAGGTGCTTTTACTTTTGTTTGTTTCATTCATCTCGTGCATGTCATCCATCAAGGGTATCATGTCTAGGCAATGTTCCCGGCGAGGCCGAGAAAGAGGGCTTGAGCTGCGAGTTGCAAAGTCCAGATGCCCACCTTTTTTATTCGTCGCTTGCGTGTAGTCCTGTCTTCGAGAACGTCACGGGCAAAGGCATCGTACATCTAAAAAGGTTAGCACATCGTTGGAGTGTCATGCAAGGGATTTCGCCATACCTCTTTCGATACCTCCTCCATCAAGCCGCTATCGTACAGTGTCCAGCTGCCGTCAAACTCGCTGACCTTCTTGACCACTCTGCAGTTGACTGGAATAAAGCTACGGCTCGAGTTGATGTATGCGACAATGGGCCGCACAAGAGCGTTGTTGACGTACGAAATGTCTCTGGTGAAGATGGGGACGGCAGCACGGACGTCGTTGAGGTGGACGCGCATATCCATGATCATGTAACGCGACTCCTCTCCTTGTTCAGCATCAGAGTTGTCATCGTGATGGTGTTCATCAAAGCCATGGACGGCATGGTCGGAAAAGTGATGCTTGCGCTGCTGGGTGACGGTGGCTTCGACACGGTCGTACATGTCAGACATGACCTTGGCAATACTGTCATCGTTGTCGTTGGGGAACATGACGTCGGCAACAATGTCGACATTTCCTTCATGGATCCAGGAAAACGGGCCCTCATAGCCGCGGTTGAGATGGTCGATGTTGAGACCGTCGATGCGTATCCGGCTATGCTTCTTCCAGGAGCTGCCATCCTCGGAGGCGCGACCGCTGCTCAATTGAGCGCCCGTGTAGTTGTGGGTTTGTCGGGGGTGGATGGTGAAGAGGGAGTTGTCGAATGATCCAGACATCATGTTTGCAGAGAGAAAGTCGTAAAAGAGCCATTGCTTCCGCAGCCTGGGAAGGTCACAGGAGAAGATGCTGACGGAAAAGGGGCGGAAGCCATTTGGCTGATATACAGTCACCAGCAAATCTTCCATTTTGAACGAGTCGAGCTCAAAGTCTCCAGGTTGGTGCTCGTGCTTGTATGACCTCGGGTCAACGCCTTCGATAGTGCGCACTGAAGTTCGATCGACTACCCCGCGGATGCCCTTGATCTCAACATCCTCCAACAAGCCTTTGCCGTTGAACCACTTGGAAAAGGACAAGGTGATGTTGACAGTGTCTATGGAGATGTCGAACTGGGTGTAGTTTGTATCCTCCTCTGGCTCGGACTTTGCCGGAATCCCGTCATGTGCGTCCTTGCTATGCTGAGCCCGAGCAGCGGCGGCGGCAGCTATCTCCGTATGTGAACCTTTGCTGACCTTTCCTGTGCCTTGCCCGGGACGGCGCGAGACGAAGACATTGCGGAAAGAAATGACGCCGTCTCCCCACTTGGGTACTACGGCAGTCTCGAAGACGACTTTGATGCCCGAAGACTTTGTCAGATAGTTGCCAATCCACTTGCCAACCGTTTCTTGAGAGAAAGCAGTGTTGATGAGGAAGATGGTCAACATGAAGAATGTCGTAGTTCCTAGGATAACCCATAGTACATGGGCGGCAATGACCCACGAGAAGAGGGCGTATATCTCATCGGCATTGAAGGGACGAGTGCTCCGGATGGTGAGCCATTTGAAGTGGATCTTGATGCGCGACCAGAAGCCAGAGGCAGCGGCGAGCAGCTCAGCTTTACTAGGGCGATATATGTGCGGGAGGTGATGGGGTAGGCGGTCGAGGAGGGGCTTTGAGGTGCTTGGAGTGTCGGCTTCCTGCTTTGGTTCTGGCTCTGTCTGTGAGGGCTTGGGCGGCGCATTCGGCTGGGGCGAGAGATTGGCCTGCGGAGCCTGGCCAGACGGACGACGCTTATTGTCGGAGGAGGACGGAGTGAGTGAGCTCTTGCTACGTCGGTCGCTGCGTGTATTCCTTCTCAGTGCGCGCGAGGCCTTTGAAGAGGCATGCCGGGTCCATGCTGCGAAGACGACCTTGGTGATGCTATGCTGGGCGCTTGGTGCATAGAGTGAATTGACAGCGGGAAAGCAGGCCAGCCATGGCGAGGGCGTTGCGCGAGGGCGTTGGGTCGTGGATGCGGTCGAAAAAGCATGCCGAATGGGAGGGCAGGCAAAGGCAGCGCCCTCTCTCAACAGCGGGCCAGCGACGGGGCGCCACAGCAAGCCGAGCGTTCGCACATGCTTGTTCATGATAAGCGCGGCGGGCACATGGTCGACGTCTGCAGAGTGGGTGGGTGCGGACAGAGGGAGAGGAGGGAGTAAATGGCCTGGCTGGTATGTCACTAAGTGAAGTAGTCGTGACTGTATAAGGCTTCACGTCATTTCATTTGCCCAGGCATTTATTGATTTGCCCGCCCGCACAAGAGGGCGGCGGCAGAGGGACATTCGCCCGCTAGTCCGCTTTCGGCACACCATTCCGTCGCCTCTCCAAATTTCTTGACCAGCCCCACTCGTCGCGCTCGACGACACCAATTGACCAGACACCACCCGTACACACTGCAATATAGAGGGGAGAAACAAAGAAAAAAAAATATACACAAAATGCCTGCTCCCACCGCCCTCCAGCGCCGCCCCGAAGAACTGGCCGACAATGTCGCCCTCGAAGCCTCGTCCATCTCGCTGCCCACCGAATCCGACGGCGACCTCATCTCCATGAGCATCGACCCCGTTGACGCCCCCAACACAACTTCGGATGCGCCCGAAGAAGACATGCCCATGGTCGACGAGAGCGGAAAGCCCAAGTTCCCCGCCGCCAAGTCGATACCGCTCGCCTTCCGCCGTGAGCAGCGCAAGGTGCCCATTCCGCCGCACAGGATGACTCCGCTCAAGAACTCGTGGCCCAAGATCTACCCGCCGCTTGTTGAGCACCTCAAGCTGCAGGTCCGCATGAACACAAAGAGCAAGAGTGTCGAGCTGCGCACCTCGAGCGCCACCACCGATACGGGTGCGCTACAGAAGGGAGAAGATTTGTACGTTGATGTCTTGGGTGGAGCAGCGCTCTACATACACACTACAGGAACATGCTGACTCTCTGCAGCGTCAAGGCTTTTACTCTTGGTTTTGACACAGACGACGCTATCGCGGTATGCACCCACAACCCTATATTCGCACACAGGCGACTAATACCTTTTAGCTGCTCCGACTAGACGATCTGTACATTGAGACGTTTGAAATCAAGGACGTAAAATCGCTCTCGGGTGAACATCTCAGCCGCGCCATCGGCCGTATCGCCGGTAAGGACGGCAAAACCAAATTCGCCATTGAAAACGCCAGCAGAACACGAAGTACGTCTTGCTTCCTTTTCGTGATTAGACTCGCCTCTAACAAGCAACAGTTGTTCTCGCAGACCAAAAAATTCACATCCTTGGCGGCTTCAAGAACATCCACATTGCTCGCGAGTCCATTGTCAGCTTGATCCTCGGACAGAACCCCAGCAAAATGTACGGCAACCTGCGGACCATTGCCGGAAGGATGAAGGAGAGGTTTTAGATGCGCAATAGAAGTACTTTCAGAAGAGGGAAAAAAGCGGCATCAGGCATTTACATGGCGTTAAGGCGAAACGGATCGGGAACAATGGCAGGCAAAACAAATACCATCTGACATGACTTGACGAACGATTGGAAGACGATGGAGCTAGCGACATTTTGCTATCATACGGCTATATACGCAATTTTTTTAAACGATTTCCACACACTTCACTTATCCTTTTTGTCCACATGATCAAGCCTTGTTCCTCCTCCCCACCATCCCTTTAACTCTCTCAACCCCCTTTCCCAACCCCCCAAACACAGTTGCAAACCCAAAGCTCCAACCCTTAATCCTAACACTCCACACAAAAAAATACACCAACGCCCAATTACTCACGCAAAACGCAGCGAAAATGCCAAAATCCCTCCATTTATCGCCTGCCGATATATTCAGCGACGCAAGATAATCGTCGCCTACACTGTAGGCACAGTACTGGCATTCCGCCGTTGCATTGGGATTAACCAGGTATCCCGGGGCCGTTTCCAAAAAGCGCCTCGCATAGTCCTGGCAGGAGATACCATTTGGCGTATCAAACACGGCCGTTTCCTTGTCCGCACACTGGACGGGAACACCCGTCATAGTCGCAGCCAGGACACCTGCAATCCAGTACGTAGCGGGGTTAACATAGTACATCCAGTAGCGCCAGAAGACAGGGATAGCGGCAAACGGGCGTACGACGCCGTTGAAGAGGCCGAACATGACGAAGAAAAAGGGAAGGACGTTGGAGATTACGGTGAAGGAAGGGGCGAAGGCGCAGATCCATTGGCCCCAGGAAGATATGAAGAGGAAGAAGAGGAGAGTCATGAGGAAGACGTAGCCGGCGGTTGCGGCGTCGGATGGGAGTCCAGTGGGGAAGTACCAGAGGAGAAAGTATACAACGCTTGATACCACCGCCGCGGGTATCTCTGCTACGACTTGCGCGGTCGCGAATGCGGTCCAGCCGTATATTCTAGAGGGTAGTTCGCGGGCGGTCCAGAGAGCCATGTTTGAGTAGAATTTGGGGACTACGCCGTTGACGATTGTGGGGGGCAGGAGCACGATAAGGAAGATTGTGAAGAGCCGGTTTTGCAGGTCGGTGGTGCTGGTGCTGAGGCGGTAGAAGGTGAAGCCGTTGAAGATGCCGAGGATCACAGAGACGAAGAGTTTGGAGTAGAGGTATGAGGGGGAG